CCCCCCTCTGCCTTCCCCCCCTCTCTCCTCTCTCTCTCCTCTCATTCTCCCCCCCCCCTCTCTCTCTCCTCCCCTCTCTCCTCTCCCCTCTCTCTGCCCCCTCTCTCCTCTCCCCTCTCTCTGCCCCCTCTCTCCTCTCCCCTCTCTCTGCACCCTCTCTCCCCCCCCTCTCTCTGCCCCCTCTCTCTCCTCTCCCCTCTCTCTGCCCCCTCTCTCCTCTCCCCTCTCTCTGCAACCCTCTCTCTCCCCCTCTCATTCCCTCTCTCCCCTCTCATTCTCTCCCCCCTCTCTCTACTCTTCCCCCCCCCCCTCCTCTCTCTATCCCCCTCTCTCCTCTCATCCCCCCCCCCCTCTCTCTCCCTCTCTCTGTCCCCCCCTCTCTCCTCTCCCCTCTCTCTGCCCCCTCTCTCCTCTCCCCTCTCCCCTCTCTCTCCCCCCTCTCTCCTCTCCCCTCTCTCTGCACCCTCTCTCTCCCCCTCTCATTCCCTCTCTCCCCTCTCTCCTCTCATTCTCTCCCCCCCTCTCTCTACTCTCCCCCCCCCTCCTCTCTCTATCCCCCTCTCTCCTCTCATTCCCTCTCCCCTCTCTCTGCCCCCTCTCTCCCCTCTCTCTCCCCCCTCTCTCCCTCTCCTCTCTCTCTCTCACAGGCAACAATCGTTTATATCCTGCTCCCATCCTAAACCTGACACATTGGTCACCACGAGCAACACTCCATGCAGTCCCATCACTTGCACACGGGCCCCACACATTACAATGTGACCGTTGGCTTGAATGGTAGAAAGATGAAAACATGATGAAAATGTGAGTAAAAAAACTGAAAGGGGAGATTGGCAACCCTGCGACCGGCCAGTCTAATCGTAGAAAATTGGACTCCAATTGATGCTTCATACAACCAATCTTATGTCACCCCACACATAGACTTCTGTGCAACTCGTCTAAAGCTCACCACACGTTACATTGTACAATCTCCTTTAGATCTACAAAGTATAGTTTGGGGGGGGGGGGTCCTGCCTGATTGATTGGGGGGGTCCTCATATGACATAGTTTTGGTAGATCTAAGGATGATTGGACAGATTGTAATGTGTATGGTGACCTTAAAAATAGAAGAATCAGACTGATAATGCTTCTCTCCACAAGGCGGTACATCCATGATCCAGCACTTGATGACAGGTCACAGATCAGCGGCCGATCTGTCAGTCTTTCTCTTCAAGCATTTTACAACAACCTGTACCGACATACATTGCCGCAATCTGCACAACTCATCACCGACAGCAAGACATACAGAGGTGGCTGGTCCATCCAAAACGGCATTTCAACTTTTGGTGGATGCAAGAGAATCATCTAACATTTTTATCTATGTCCTTTCTATGTCAGTGAGATCTCTGCACTGAGTTCCCAGGTCTGTACACCTGCTGTGCCCATTATGAGGGGTTCCCACCATCCCTGTGTGGAGTTCCCAGGTCTGTACACCAGCTGTGCCCATTATGAGGGGTTCCCACGATCCCTGTGCTGAGTTCCTAGGTCTGTACAACTGCTGTGCCCATTATGAGGGGCTCCCACCATCCCTGTGCTGAGTTCCTAGGTCTGTACAACTGCTGTGCCCATTATGAGGGGTTCCCACCATCCCTGTGCTGAGTTCCCGGATCTGTACACCTGCTGTGCCCTGTATTTCTATGTATTTTATAATATGTAAAATGCAGCAGAATGAGTGAGAAGACCCTTGATATAGCATGAGTAAGACTCCAAGATGAACCAGAACCATATCATGGTATCGACACCTCTATAGGATACCAGAAATGGAACAAGTCAGCAACCCCACCTATAATGGTGATATCACTTTTGGGTGGAGGGATCCTTGCAGGGCAGCATTAGGGGAATATGTAAGAAATGTAAATCACAATGAAATGCTCTGAATTCGGTTGGTGGATTACGGGACTACAATCACCGCTGTAATAGTTTACACATCACTCCATCCAAAAGCAATATTCCATTTCTATTGGTGGATGTCGCTTAATTGTCTTCTTCTAGTTCTAAAAGGACTCTGCAGGTGAGATGTCCCGGCAATAAATTCATCCTCTATAATGCTCCGATGTCCCCTATAATGCTCCGATGTCCTCTATAATGCTCCGATGTCCTCTATAATGCTCCGATGTCCTCTATAATGCTCCGATGTCCCCTATAATGCTCCGATGTCCCCTATAATGCTCCGATGTCCCCTATAATGCTCCGATGTCCCCTATAATGCTCGGATGTCCTCTATAATGCTCTGATGTCCCCTATAATGCTCCGATGTCCCCTATAATGCTCTGATGTCCTCTATAATGCTCTGATGTCCCCTATAATGCTCGGATGTCCTCTATTATGCTCTGATGTCCCCTATAATGCTCCGATGTCCTCTATAATGCTTGGATGTCCCCTATAATGCTCCGATGTCCTCTATAATGCTCGGATGTCCCCTGTAATGCTCGGATGTCCCCTGTAATGCTCGGATGTCCCCTGTAATGCTCGGATGTCCCCTATAATGCTCTGATGTCCCCTATAATGCTCTGATGTCCCCTATAATGCTCGGATGTCCCCTATAATGCTCGGATGTCCTCTATAATGCTCTGATGTCCTCTATAATGCTCTGATGCCCTCTATAATGCTCGGATGTTCTCTATAATGCTCGGATGTCCCCTATAATGCTCGGATGTCCTCTATAATGCTCTGATGTCCTCTATAATGCTCTGATGTCCCCTATAATGCTCTGATGTCCCCTATAATGCTCGGATGTCCCCTATAATGCTCGGATGTCCTCTATAATGCTCGGATGTTCTCTATAATGCTCTGATGTCCTCTATAATGCTCGGATGTCCCCTATAATGCTCGGATGTCCTCTATAATGCTCTGATGTCCTCTATAATGCTCTGATGCCCTCTATAATGCTCGGATGTTCTCTATAATGCTCCGATGTCCTCTATAATGCTCGGATGTCCCCTATAATGCTCGGATGTCCTCTATAATGCTCGGATGTCCTCTATAATGCTCGGATGTCCTCTATAATGCTCGGATGTCCCCTATAATGCTCTGATGTCCTCTATAATGCTCTGATGTCCTCTATGATGTCCACAGTAGGTCGGGAGCTGTGGAGCTCTCACTGCTGTACAGTTGCATCCTTTATATTGCTCCTATCAGGTCAGAAGCTCGGGAGATCTTAGTGCTGAAATCCCAGTTAGCTGTAATAAGTTGGCACGTGAACCGACTTGCCAGAATCTGCCAAGAGCGAAAATATCAGTTTTGGGTGGTCTGATCCTTTATACAAGCCCATTATAACTGTTACTCTGCAATTTGTCTCATCACCATCACCCCCAGCAAGTTCTATCGAGATTCTGTCAGAGAGGTCACCGGAGACCGACACTTGGTGGTTACTGTCACTTTGTAATGCTGCTACAGGAGACAGAGAGAGGAGAGAGAGAAAGGGAGAGAGAGAGAGACAGACAGAGGGAGAGAGAGAAAAAGAAAGAGAGAAAGAGAGACAGAGGGAGAGAAGGTGATGGGTAAAAAAGAGAGAGAAATAAGAGAGGGGGGAGAGAAGAGAGAGAAAAGAAAAGGAAGGGATAGTGAAAGACAGAAGGAGTGGAAGAGAGAGAAAGAGAAACAAGGAGAGAGAGAAGAGAGGGAAAGAATGAGAGGAAGGCAGAGAGAGAGAGAGAGAAATATGGAGAGAAGAGAAATAAGGAAGGAGAGAGAAAGAGAAGGAGAAAAAGAAGAAGAGACAGAAAGAGATGGAGAGAAGGAATGGTAAAAAGACAGAGAGAAATAAGGAGAGGAGGGAGAGAGAAAAGGAAAGGAAGGAAGAGGGAGAGAAAAGGAAAAGGAAGGAAGAGGGAGAGAAAAACAGAAGGAAAGGAAGAGAGAGAAGAGATAAAAAGAATGAGAGGAAGGAAGAGTGAGACAGAGAAAGCATGAGAAGCAAGAGATAGAAAGAAATAGGGGGAGAAGAGAGAAAAGGAGAGAAAGAAGGAGAAAGAGATGGAGAGAAGGAGATGGGTAAAGGGAGATAGAAATAAAGGAAAAGGGAGAGAGAGAGTTGGAGATTGAGAGAGAAAAAAGAAAAGAAAGAGAGAGGGAGAAAAAGAGATAAAGAGAAGGATGTAGATAAAGAGAGACAGAGAAAAAAGATAGAAAGAGAGAGAGAGATAGAAGATAGAGAAAGAATGAGAGGAAGGAAGATAGAGAGAAAGAAGTATAAGGGGCGTGAGATAGAAAGAAATAGGTGAAGAGAGAGAGAGAGAGAGAAGGAAGGAGAGAGATGAGAGAGAGAGAGAGAGAGAGAGAAAGATGAGAGTAAGAAAGAAATACAGAATGAGAGATCCAAAGAAAAAGAGGGGGGAAGAGGGAGGAATAATAAGAAAATTAGAAAGAATGAGAGAGAGAGAAGATAATAAATGATGGGAAGGGGGTGAGCGCAAAGGAGAGTGAAAGAAAGAAAAAATGAGAGAGAAAAGTAGAAAATAAATAAGAAAAAAGGGGAGCGATGGAAGAAGAGGGGAAAAAGAACAAGAGAGATAGAGAGAGACAGAGAGTGTAAAGGAGTGAGAGACAGAAAGAGGGGGAGAGAGAAAAAGACAGGAAAAAGAAAGAGAGAAATGAAGGGAGAAAAGTTGGGGGTGGGAAAGAAGAATCAGAAAGAAAGGGAAGAAGAGAGGAAAAGAAAGAGAGGATAAAGAGATAGAACAAGAAAAGAGAGAGAGAGAGAGAGAGAGAGAGAGAGAGAGGAGAGTGAGAGAGAGAGAGAATGGAGAGAGGGAGAGGGAGAGGGAGAGAGAGAATGGAGAGAGAGAGAGAGAATGGAGAGAGAGGGAGAGAGAGAGAGAATGGAGAGAGAGAGATAATGGAGAGAACATGGAAAGAAGAGAGAGAACAAATACTAGACATAGAGGTGATGGGAGACAGATGCAGTTGTACATTCCAGCTGCGTGTTCTTTGCATTGAAGGGACACATTGGTCTCTCGTTGTCATCATTTCTTACATAGCATCTCTACCATCGTGCGAACTGTAGGAGATTTGTACTCACCCACACACTCGTTGGCTTCCCTTGCAGTCGCCCTCTGCCAAGGTCTGTCATAGTGGAAAGGTTTACATCGGTCGCACTCGGGCCCGGCTGTGTTGTGCTTGCAGTCGCACACCAGGTTGTCATCCCTGTCCTTGACGCACCTTGATGCGTGCCCGTTGCATTTGCACCGACCCCCGACCTGAAGGTCAGAGACGGCGTAGAAATAGGAGTCCCTGGCCAGCTCCGAGTCATCTTCGTTCTCGTCGCCGAAGGTATGAAGGCGGCTAAAGACCACTTTGATGTCCGTGGCGGTCACCCAGTCTTGGAGCACCGGGGAATTGTCGAAGTCATGGGCAGACGGTCGGCCGTCCAAGGTGCTGAAGGCGATCAGGCCACCCGAAAGAGGGTGCATGTCGGTGTGAGAGTCCGTACAGATGGCCTCCTGCTCGTTCTGCTTGGTGATCACCGCTTTGTTGGGTTTGTTGTACATCTTCCTGCACTGGGTGGAGTAGAACTGGAATGGCACCCAGGACTTTCCATAGTCCATGGACTTGAAGATGGCCATGGATTCCGGACGGGGAGAGCAGAACTGCAAGCTCACATAAGTCACCTCAAACTTCTTGCCCAGGGAAAGCGTGAGGGTGACGTTCTGAGGGTACTGAATGTAGTTCTCTGACTGCCAGCAGGTCAAGTTGTGGGGATTGTTGAGGTCCGTTAAAAAGGACGGCGGGTGAGCTTTTTTGGGGTCAGAAGCGTTGCACGCGTGACAGTTGCGAAACCTCTCTTCGCCTTTCTCCGTCACAACGCAGTATCTCGAAGGGTTCTTGCCGCAGATACTAGACACCTTAACCTCCTTCCCGAAAGCAGAGTTCACAAAGTCTGGGATACACCTCCTCGGATTTCCGTTCTCATCATAGCACGGGTCCGGCTGCGACGTCTGGATGGAGAACATATTCATCCCGTAGCCTCCTCTACCTTCTTGAGCGGTACAACACAAGGAAATCAGCATCAACATCGCAAAGTGCCCTCTCAGCATCATCCTGGATCCAGCTTAACCCTGCCTCGACCACAGACCTCTCCTCTGGTGGTACCTGGCAAAATTGAGGACAGAAGAAAATCAAAAAATCAGGAAAAAAAAAAACGATATAAAATATTTAAGTCACCTAGGAGTTACTAGAAACAGATGGTAAAAATAGCTAAAAACAGACTAGCAACCAAAATCAAACAGAAATGACATCACTTTTTTTTTCTGCAGAAAAGATCCAAAAGAGAAGAAAAAAAATTGCATTTCAAAAGCTTCCTGCATAAATTTGATTTTTAATCAGAGAGCGGTATAAAAAAAAAAAAAAACAAAAAACAAGCATAAATGACAACATAAAAAAGGTGAAATTTCCCAAAATAGAACAGAAAACAAACAAAACGAAACTGTGTCAAGGCTTTACGCAGGGAGATACAATAAAAGAAGAAGCTGTGAACAGATTTGGCCGGAGAGAAAATTCTCACCTAGAAGAAAGCATTCTGTGGTTTAAAGTAATTAAAGGGAAAATTTAAAAAAAAAATTTGCTCTACCTTAGGAGTGAATTAAGGAATTGCAGGGGGGGAAGAAAAAAAAAAAGGGAATGAGAAATGGTATATAGAGGAAAAAAAAAAAAAAAAAAGTTGAGAAAAAGTTTTGTTGGCGAGTCAGTGTGAGCGGTGCCGGGGAAAGCTGATGGGAAAAGTGCTCAGGGAGACAATTTGGAGAATGAATCGTTCCATCCCTCCTGGATGACCAAAAGCTTTGCTGGACTTGTCTTCCCCTGGCTGCCTATAGAAAGTGAATGACGCTCCGCGCTGTGTTTGGCTTCAGGTCATCTCAAGGAGTGACACTGCATTAGGGGGAATTACAACGACACCCACTGGTTGGAAAAACCACACTGGGCAGGAGAAGCTTTGCACATGCAGGAGAAGGAGGGGTAGGGAGGTGGGAGAAAAGGATGGGGGGGGGGGGGGGGGGGAAGGAGTGGAGCAAAGGAGCTTGCACTAACCAAGGGAAAAGTGTGAGACACAAGGGGGGGAGAGACATGCTCACAGATAAGGTGAGCACCATGGACAGACAATGCATGCTTGTGGATGCAAAGCGCAGGGAGGGCAGACAAGGAAGGGGGGGGGGATCTCACGCTTTTAGATTCTATAGGAAGTCAAACTGAAACGTTACTGCTAGAAGGAAGCGGTGCAGGGAGGAGGACGCGCTGCTTGCAGCATCCCTGCGTCGGGGCAAGAGCAGACAGGGAGCTGCGCTTTAACCACTTCAGCTCTGGAAGGCGTTCCCCCCCTTCGTAATCAGCCCATTTTTCGCTACTTTAACTGGTCATTGCGCGGTCGGTCATGCGAAGCTGTACACAAACCAAATTTGCAGCACTTTCTTTAGAGCTTTCTTTAGGTGGTATTTCATCCTCAAATGGTTTTTTTTTTTTTGCGACCAAAAATGTTGAAAAAAACCTATATTTTTTTACTTTCTGCAATATAACATATCCACAAAAAAAACAATCAAATTTCTTCATAAATTTTGGCCAAAATGTATTTGGTAAAAAAAAAAAAAAAAATCCCAAGAAGTGTATTTGATTGGTTTGCATGAAGGTTATAGTGTCCACAAACTATGGGATATATACCGGAATTTACGCAGCTACAGACGCTATGCCGGTAATGGCGGTGATCAGCGACTTACAGCGGGACCGTAATAGTGTGGGGGGCAATCTGACGCTAACGGACACTCTCCGAGGGGGTACACTAACTGACAAACTATAGGATATATACCAGAATTTACGCAGCTATAGACGCTATGCCGGTAATGGCGGTGATCAGCGACTTACAGTGGGACCGTGATAGTGTGGCGGGCAATCTGGCGTTGACAAACCCTCTCTGAGGGGGTACACTAACTGACAAACTATAGGATATATACTGGAATTTACGCAGCTATAGACGCTATGCCGGTAATGGCGGTGATCAGCGACTTACAGCGGGACCGTAATAGTGTGGAGGGCAATCTGATGCTAACGGACCCTCTCTGAGGGGGTACACTAACTGACAAACTATGGGATATATACTGGAATTTACGCAGCTATAGACGCTATGCCGGTAATGGCGGTGATCAGTGACTTACAGTAGGAGCGTGATAGTGTGGCAGGCAATCTGGCGCTGGCAGACCCTCTCTGAGGGGTACACTAATTGACAAACTATAGGATATATACCAGAATTTACGCAGCTATAGACGCTATGCCGATAATGGCGGTGATCAGCAACTTAAAGCGGGACCGTAATAGTGTGGGGGGCAATCTGACGCTAACGGACCCTCTTTGAGGGGGTACACTAATTGACAAACTATAGGATATATACCAGAATTTACGCAGCTATAGACGCTATGCCGGTAATGGCGGTGATCAGCGACTTACAGCGGGACTGTGATAGTGTGGGGGGCAATCTGACGCTAACGGACCCTCTCTGAGGGGGTACACTAATTGACAAACTATAGGATATATACGGGAATTTACACAGCTATAGACGCTATGCCGGTAATGGCGGTGATCAGCGACTTACAGTGGGACCGTGATAGTGTGGCAGGCAATCTGACGCTAACGGACCCTCTCTGAGGGGTACACTGACATACAGGGGCGGACTGACCATTCGAGCACTCGGGCAATGCCCGTGGGCCCAGGGTCAATAGGGGGCCCCATGAAATGCCCCTGGTACCTTTTTTATAGGCTTTTTTGAGTGTGGGCAAGGACACAGGGGCCCCATGATCCCCTATTGCCCGGGGGCCCCATGAGTTGTCAGTCCACTCCTACTGACATCAATAGTGACACTACTACAGGGATCAGATATAATATTGTACTAATGACACTGGCTGGGAAGGGGTTAATGTCCAGGGACAATCAAGGGGTTAACTGTGTGCCGAAGGCCGGCCACACATGGGTCGATTTTCGAACGATTTTTCGTTCGAAAGTCGGATCTAAGAATAATCAGCCGATTATTATAGGGCGATGGCGCTGTTCGATTTTCCTGGTTCCTCCCCATTTTGTTTATTGGGCACGCTGGAAAATTCCTGAAAAACGAGCGATTTTAGAAATCATTGGTGGCACCATTGGATTACAGGATGAACGATGTTTTTGATTTTTGATCCAAAAATCGATCGGAATTTGACCCATGTATGGGCTGCTGAACAAGCGTAATGTGTGATATGCACTGCTTTTACTAACAGATCTGGCTGTTTTTTCTCCCTAATTTGCAGGAAGAAGAAACCCAGATCGCTGATCGCCAGATCTTTTCATTTCCATTACACACCTTTTTTTTTTTTTTTTTTTTAGAACCGGTCATGTCATCACTGGGTCGCTGTGCTTCTCTATGCAATGCAGGCAGATTATGGCTAGGAGGGAGGGGCTGGCAGTGTGCACTCTGCCTCAGTACATTTCTGAAGAGCCCACCGCTCTGATGCAAGCAGTGGGAGGAGCTATGCAAACATCAAAATGCCTTGATGGGCGGATGTCAGTCTGGATGAGTGGGTGTTCCTAAGCAGGCTCATTTGCATGCAGACCGCCCACATGAAATCCAAAACTGAAAGAGCTGAAATCCAATGAGTGAATGGGGTGGGGCTGGGGAGGAAGAGCTGGGAAATGGGGCGGGCAGCTCTGACTTGCTGCTCTGCGATTCTCTATGCAACACAGGCAGATCATGGCTGGTAGGAGGGGTTGGCGTAACTTCCTGAAAACGTCACAGCTCCGTGCCTCAGTACTCCTCTCAAGAGCCCTCAGCCTTGAAGCAAGTAGTGGGTGGGCTCATGGGAGGGGTTATGCAAATACTGAAATGCCTTGGTAGGTGGAGGAGGAGTCTGGACGAGTGGGCGGTCCTAGGCAGGCTGCAGGTAGGTAATACATGCGACGCTGAGCCTCCACGATTGGAAGAACTGAAATCCAAGGAATGAAGGGGGTGGGGCCAGGGACATCCAGGCTGGGGAGGAAAGTGTGTAGATCAGGGGTGGGCAACTGTGGCCCTCCAGCTGTTGTAGAACTACAAGTCCCATGAGGCATTGCAAAACGGACAGTTACAAGCATGACTCCCAAAGGCAGAGGCAAGATGGGACTTGTAGTTCTACAACAGCTGGAGGGCCACAGTTGCCCACCCCTGGCGTAGATGCTGCTGGATGTCCTCCAGCCAGGAAAAGAGGCGGAGCTTTTTGTGACTGGCTGCAGCTTCTAATGCACATTGTGAGCTCACAGTGTGCAGTAATATCTGAGTCAGCAGGAAAGGAGGCGGCACAACTGTGCAAGACCGAAGGGGAGGCCGGTGATCTGACTTCATTCTCGTATACAGGACTGGCCGACGCGTTTCGGTTCTTTGCATTATGGCTTCATCGGGGTCTCCAAGACTCACTGGAAGGGTATGAAAGGACCACCCATGTGACTCCAGTGCCGATCTGGATCTATAGCCTGGTTCAGGATTCTCCAAATGATGGCCCTCCAGCTGTTGAAGTACTACAAGTCCCATCATGCCTCTGGGAGTCGTGCCTGTGGCTGTCAGAGTCTTGCAAGGCCTCATGGGACTTGTAGTTCCTGGAGGGCCATAGTTTGGAGACCTCCTGGGTCTTGGGGTATTCCCCATCCCCCACCCCCAGGTATGTGGGCTGTTTGTTCCATTCCAAATCGCAGCAACACGCCAGACGCGCTTTCGGGTGCCATTCAATCATAAAGGCATCCAGAACGTGATTTTGCTATGACCGGCATGCGTCCAAAAAGCACGCGGCAAAAGGCGCGTGACAAAAAAGTGAGAAGCTCGCCGCCCAGAAAGTACGCGAGCTCCTTTCTGCACGAGCAGCGAGCACAGGGCAGCCCTAGAGGCGCGCTCAGCTATGTGTTCTTCTCTACCTGAGCAGAAGGGAGACGGAAATTCCTGACATAATTCTGGCCTCTGCCAACATGTTCCAGG